CTTTATCCCCAGCTTTGTCCCTCTTATTGTGTGAGAGTCGTTTCTCTTGAGCCTTAATTTGCTATGTAAAATGTGTACAATAACACCTACTAAGAAAGTTGTGAAAACTGAAGTTGATGCTTATGTAGGAGCCAGTTAGTCTCTAACACAGAGTAGGCTTTTAACAATTGTCAGCTCTGATTTTAATTATTATCAGACACTTAAATTTTTACATGTTTGTCTCCTCAAAGAGTCTGTTAAAATTTCAAAAATAGAAACCATGTCTTAAATGAGTTTGGATCCCCAGCCTGGATCATAGTTCCTAGCCTACACCAAAAGGTTCACTTTGTGGAAAGAGTCCAAGCTTTGACAACAGGCAGAATGGAAAGTGAATCCTGGATCCAATAGTAAATAGCTGTGTCAATGTTGACTTTCTCTCTCTGGGCCTCAGTTAATTATCTATAACAGAATAACCCCTCCCCCCCCCAAGCTATTAAGAGATTTAGATAACATTCTCTTATCTGAGAGATTCTTGTACTAGCACATTTTAGCCAAACATGAATCTTCTTATGTAACTTCAAAATATAAATCGGTATATTTGCCTTTATGATTCCTTCTTCCCCAAGTGCCAAATGGCTGGAAGAACTAGCACCATTTCAAAGATGGGACCTCCTTCCCCTAGGTCTCAGGCACCATTGTATGATTTTAACAACTTCCTTTATATGTTAGTCAAAGGAAGAGGCAGAACTATCCAAGATCAAGTGTGGGATCACTGCCTATTCCACTGGTTTCCCTGGAAGACTAGGACTGTGAAATGAAAGGCAATCGAATACACATTCCATGGGAGTTCTGGATCTGTGAAATAGAAATAGTCATAATAAAAAAAAAAAAGTCAGGGTGGTTCCACAAACTCATTATAAACCAGCAGTATGATATGTCTGCTAAAAAATAAAAATAAAATATGAGGTGAGTGAAACTTTAGTTTGCGTTAACAGAAGTATAAAATCTGGAAGTAAGAGATTTATGGCTTTTTTTTTTAACTCCCAATTGGATAGAAAACATGAGCCATCACATCTCAGAGGTAACTTTTTAGCATCTACAGTTTCCCAGCTTTGGTTTCTGCTGATCTGAGGGTGCCCAAATATATCAGTGAGGACTTCTGAACAATTTCCAACATTTCATTGGTTTTACTGGGACCAAGTTTCTCTTTGAGCTAGAATTGTATTAGTTTAAGGGAATTAATTCATATGGGTGCTCTCCTGCTAATCAGAGTTCTTTGATAAATACAAAATGGGGGAAAATAATGCTTAATAACTGTAGTCCATTGTGTTGGTAGAATCCTTTAAAACATGGAATTCAAGAGAAAAGAAAGAGAAAAATGAGGTTAACCACACTTTCAGCCCCACTTTGTAAAGTGGTAACTGAGACCCAGAGAGGAGAAGTGGCGAGCCCTAGATAGCACAGTGATGTAATATCAGAATGAGAAATGCCTTCTAAGCCAAGGCTTTATAGCTCCTAGAAGCCCAAGGGTTTCCCCTGCACTCTGACTGCTGCTCAGAGTCCCACAATTTAAGAGGAACTTTGATCAATCAAGTAATCAGAGACAGGTGATCAGCTTAGTCTGGGAACCAGGTCATGTGAATCTCCCTGCAAGCGGTTTTGCCATGATAACATTTGTGGGACATTTCTTTTTGAACAGTGCCCATCCCCTGGATGTCTACAATATCAGCTTTCTTGTAGATTCACATGTGTGTGGAAAAAGGAACAACTCCATGGACAAAGGAAAAACTCCATGTTCTAAAAGGCCTACAGAACACATAATGGATGCTTCTCTTTCCCCTTGGGTGGGTCATTTTTGGCAATTTACTGGAAGTTGGTGGTTCCCCAAAACATTTTTTAAATTTAATTATATCTGCAAAATCATTACCATACAAGGTAACATTCACAGGTTCTAGGGATCAGAACCTGATATTTTGGAGACCACCACTCAGCCCACAATACCATCCAAACCAGCAATCGTACTCCTAGGTGTTTATCCTAGAGAAATAAGAATGTATGTCTGCACAAAAATATGTATATAAATGTTCATAGCAATCTTATTTGTAATAGACAAAAATTGGAAACAACCTAGAAGTTCCTTAGTGGGCAAATGGAATATATGCAGCCTTAAAAAGGAATGGACTACTGATGCATACAACACAAATGGGTGTTAAGGGTATTATGCAGAGTAAGAAAAGCTAATCTCAAAAGGTAGTATACTGTATAGATCCATTTATCGTAATGGACAATAGGCTAGTGGTTACCAGGAGTTAGGTTTAGGAGGAAGGTGTGATTATAAATGGGTTGTGGCAGTGGTTATATCAATCTACACATGCAACAAACTTTCATAGTACTATACACCAAAACTAAAGTGCATGTAGAAACCAATAAAATTGATTAGGCTCGGTAGTTTACATAATCATATCACAGTCACTGCCAGTTTTCTGGTTTTGAAATTATTCTAGGATTATGTAAAATGTTATCATTAGGGAAAGTGAGGTGTGGTGGACCCTGGGACTCTATTTTTGTAGCCTCTTATGAGTATTAAATTATTTAACCTTAGAAAATTCAAAATAAAACACAAAAAAAGGAAATGTTTTATTTTTATAGGTGAGAAGTCCAAAAATAGGGTAGGCTGTAGGCTTGGTATGAATAGATGTTCACAGTGTCCCTGTACTTGTGGCTCCAGCCTCTGATTGTCTCAGTACCGCCCTCTGTTGGCTTTCTCCTCAGGCTGACTTTTCTCATTGTGGTAAGTTGGCTGCCAGCAGTCCTTGGGACTAATGAAGTTTGTTCCTATCTAGCCAGAAGGACAAAAAGGGTGCTATCATTTCTTTCCACCAGAAAACAAAACAACAAAGACCTGTGTTCTACTCTGGTTAGACCATCTTAGATCACGTGTCCACTTCTAAACTGATCACTGCCCTGGGAAATGCTTTGCACTGATGACCCAGTCATGAGGCAAAGGAACGGCATTACCTGAGTGACTTAGATCAGGTCTCATTCCTGGAGATGGGATGGAGCCAGTCCCAGCCCCAAATAACTGCTATTACCAGGTGGGAAAAGGTGGAATGGATGTTGAGTAGCCAACCCCAAAGTCTAGTACAATTTCCTTCTTGGAATTCACTTTCTATTGATTTCAGAAACACTATTTTTCCTGGATCTCCTCCATCAATAGGTTTTATTTTATTTATTTATTTTTTTTATAGAGGCATGTTTTCTTTCTTTCTTTATTTGTTTGTTTGTTTGTTTTTGTTTATACATGCACTGGGTACAGTCAGAAGCGCGGGAGGGTGAGAGAATTCACCAGAGCCAGAGTGGGGAGCAGAGCAGGCAGAAGGACCGAAGTACACTGCTGAGGGGAGCAGTGGGCGGCAGGAGAGGTCTGCGCGCCATGTGGGACCCTCCTCCGGTGGCCGGGAAGCAGCCGGGGATCGAACCGATGCTGCAGAGGCCGCGGGCAGCTTCGCAACCCAGCTCTCAACCGCTGCGCCACCGGGGAGGCCCCATCAATAGGTTTTAAAGCACTGGCATTTTCTAGACACAGAAGGCATAAAATGTCATTCCAGTCAGCAGAAACAGTACAAGCAAAGATTCAGAGATGTGAAGGAAGAAATGGATCTATTTAAGGCATAATAAAAGTATAGCTGTGGCAGAGCATTGAGTTCTTGGGGAAAGAGTGGTTAGTAACAAAGCTAAAGAGAAGGGATGGGGCCAGTACATGAAGAGTCTTGAAAGCTCCCTCAAGTGTCAGAAATATTAGGAATACATTGAGGGCTTTTGAGAAAGAACAGTATATGGATGCACTTAATCTCAGAAAGAAAGATCTCTCTGGTTACTGCATGAAGGATGAACCTAAGGGGGGGTCCAACTGAAGGATCTTCCAGTGGTTTGGGCAGAAGATGAAAGCCTGATCTAGGATGGTAGCGTTGAGCATGGAGAGAAATGGATGGAAGGTAGATATGACAGGCGGTGATTCCGTGGCATCAGTAGGGCCTGGTAAATTGTTTTAAATTAGAGGGTATGAGAGATAATTTACATTTCTGACTTGAACACTTGATATACTTTTTATCCAAAAAAGCAGGAATGTTCAAATATGCCAAATGTGCCTGGCTTGTTAAGGGAGATAGGGCTTAGAAATGACCACGAGATTTAGTGACAAAAAATTTTAAGCTAAGAAGGGGGCAGAAATCAAGTAAATTGCAGCAGAATAAGTCATGAATGGGAGGTAGGGAATAAAAAGGCTAAATTTCCTTTCAAGCTGAGATGTAAGAGGAGGAGAGAAAATAAAGTAGATGAAGAGACTCATGGAATCTATTCTTAAAGCAGAGAATAGTGCATGTTTTAAGATTTCCTAGCACTTCTCTGTAGAGGTGGAGTGAGCCTGTATCCTCACTGATAAAATGAATTTTTCATAGTAGCTACCTCATAGGTTTATGGTTTAGGTCAAGTCTTTATAACTCCTAATGATTTTTTTGTTTCCCCGCTCAACTTTAAGTTCATGAGAAACATTGATAGCCCTTAGTCCATAATATAGTATATTGGTTTTTTTTTTTTTTTAAGATTTATTTATTTATTTATGTATACAAGCACTGGGTACAGTCAGAAGCACGGGGAGGGTGAGAGAATTCGTCAGAGCCAGAGCGGAGAGCAGAACAGGCAGAAGGATCAAAGTACACTGCTGAGGGGAGCAGCGGGCGGCAGGAGAGGTCTGCGCGCCATGTGGGACCCTCCTCCGGTGGCCGGGGATCGAACCGGCGCTGAGGAGGCTGCAGGCAGCTTCGCAACCCAGCACTCAACCGCTGCGCCACCGGGGAGGCCCAGTTTATTGTTATTGTTAATAAATCTGTTAAACAAATGTTAAACAAATGAGCACAGTGCTGCCAAGGTAAGCACTTTGGGAAGCTAGCCAGGGTGTGTGATGTTGGTGGGGGAGGAAAGGGCTACAGAAGGAAGCTCCATGCCCTGAGTTTGTTTTCCAGACCATGAGGAGGCGCCCCCTGACGACCAAAGTGGGAACATGGGCAATTTGGTGGAGGTGTCAGGAGCGAGATCTCTCCAGCAGAGTCACCCCTTCCTGAACCCACGACTGTTCTGCCAAGAGGAGCCGGATGTGGACCCCAAACCCTTCCTCCAGCATTGCTTCATGGCCACAGTAACCGCTAGTGATATTCCGGGCAGCCCTGAGGAGACTCCTGTCCCCAATCTAGACCCACGTGGACTGGCCCCATAAACTTCCAATAAATATCACTATACCATCTTCTTCAGGAGTCTCTTTTCTGTGAACAGTGAGGGTGGAGAATGATTAAAGGGACTTTGGAGCGTAAGGGAATAAATAAGGGCTTTTCCCAGCAAACCCACTCAGTCCCTACTGTGGACCCAGGTATATTGCTATGGTGGGTCTAATGTAGGCCGAAAGGAGATTAGACATGGGTCTTGGGTAAAATGGTCAGCAACAACTCCAAACAACCACAGGCCTATGGAGGCATAGAGGAGTCCTTCACCTACTCTGGGGAGTCAGGGAACTCAGACTTGGTCTTCCTGCCATGTAGCAGGTGTATGTAGGATACCCCAAGACTGAGAGGCAAGTAACTCCTGTCTCTCCAGCAGCTCTGCCCCACTCCTGGAATGAGTCCTTTCCCAAGGAACAGAAAGAGAAGTATAGCGTACAGGGCCCAGTCATGTTTAATAGCATCCAATTTCTCAGATGTATGAGAGTGAATGAACGAGTGAAGAAATGAATGGTTAATAGGCCAACACCATTTCCTCCTTGTGAACTCAGCCACTTCCTATGTTGGCATGAACCATGCTACTCATGTCGTCTGACAAAGGTCCAGGCACGGGGCAGATTCCTGAAAAGTCAGAAATCTCGTTAGCTGACTCCTGCTAGATTCTTCTCATTTGTTTATGGCTGATTCTTCTGAATATTTCAATTGTTAATACACATATTTGAAAAGTAAAACTGCAAATGTTGCATGACCAAACAAGAAATAACTAATTTGTTGACAATGGCACTGCATGATATAAACAGTACATTTTGAAACAATTAGTATTTTTCTGCTTGGAAGCAGTGATTTAAATTTTGGTCTTACAAAAACAAGTGATATGTCACACCTGAAAACTTCTGGGAACTAAAGGCTGTAAACATTCCCCGCCAAGTCTTTGACATAGATTTGTGGTCTTTTAAGGCAGGGACCATATGGGGAGGTTAGAGATAGCAGTTAGAGATAGCAGTTAATTGATAGTTGAAGTTACAGATAGTTGAAGTTAGAAATAACAGTTAGTTGACAAGATAAATAAAGAAGCAATAGGTAAAAATATAGCCTTGAGAAAGTAAAAGGAGTTTCCCTTTTTCTTTTAAAGCTTGGGGTTAGAAAAAGTTCAGTGCAACTTATGCGGCACTGGGGTTCTTTGGGTTTTTTGATTCTTTACTACTTTTATTAAATTAGAATAGATTAATTATAGGAATAAAAAGTTTTCTGATTTTAGCAGTAATTGGATTTGATTACCAATATATAAGGTGATTATATTTTTTAATGTTTAAGATTTAGGAATTTTATAACTTGATTAATTAGTAATTTAGCAGTTGTAAAGGAGTTAAGTTTTAGTCATATAAGTTTTTGTTGTTTTGCTGTTTTTAGCATTAACAGAATGATTACTGGGCAGTGGAAAATAAATGATTGTTAGTGGACATTTTGTGTGGTAATTGTATTTACCTTTAGAATTAAGTGAAATGGCTAGTATCACCTCAGCAAGGGGTCATAGGTTCCTAGGCTGGTTTTGAAAAAAATGCCATGGTTGTTAGTCTTTTTTTTTTTTTTTTTAAGATTTATTTATTTATTTATACAAGCACTGGGTACAGTCAGAAGCGCGGGAGGGTAAGAGAATTCACCAGAGCCAGAGCAGGGAGCAGAGCAGGCAGAGGGACCGGGGTACGCTGCTAGGGGGAGCAGCGGGCGGCAGGGGAGGTCTGCGCACCATGTGGGACCCTCCTCCGGTGGCCGGGAGCAACCGGGTATCGAACCAGCGCTGCAGAGGCTGTGGACAGCCTCACAACCCAGCGCTCAACCACTGTGCCACCGGGGAGGCCCGTTGTTAGTCTTTTTTACTACTTGAAAGCACTCACTTTTGTAGTCCCATGGCTTGCTCGAGATGTATAAATAAAGAACTGCTGAGACCCTCGGTAGAATGATACTTGCACCCTGATCCAGTGTCAGTGTCTCTTCATTCCCCAGTTCCTTTTCCCTCAAGTCGCTGTCCCTGTCTTTTCCTGCAGGGACCCTGACACGACAGTTTGGCGGGGCTGTTTTCTGGCACTATGTGGCCTTGCTAAAGTGCCTTAGTCTTCCTGGAGCATCAGTTCCCCTGCTTAGTTATTACAAGTGTTCAATGAGATGACAGACTTAATACTCATCATAAACATGGAAGTGCTACCATGACCAACATATTTATAGATGGGTTTTTCTAACATAATATAGTGATTAAGAGCAGGGACTCTGAAGCCAAACACCTGACTCAAATTGTGTTACTTTCCTTATTTGTTAGATAACATTTGTGCCTCGTTTCTGTCATCCATACAAGAGGGTATAATATTTTGAGAAAGATTAAATCACTTAGTCCATGCAAAGTACTTCAAACAGTGCTGACAAATGGAAAGCACAATGTGTCAGTTATTACTATTATTTAAGATTTATTTATTTATTATTTATGGATGGAAGAACTGAGGTGCAGGCCAGGGGCTCAGGGGGTGAGAGGATTCACCACAGACAGAGTGGGCAACAGAACAGGCAGATTGACCGAAATACACTGTTGAGGGGAGCAGCGGGTGAGTCAGGAGAGGCCTGCTGTGCCTGTGGGTTAACTCCCTGGTGGGGGATTGAATTTAGGCCTTTGAGGTGGTAGCACTGAGACTTAACCCCTAGGCCACCAGGGATGCCCAGCTATTATTATTGATTTAAAACAAATTTTTATTATTAAGCTGATTTCAAAGCAGCCAAGATAGCCACCCTCTCTCCCATCTATTGTCCTTGTCTAAACTTAGGCGATGGTCTTAAGCTTTGCCTAAAGGCAAGGATTAAGGAGATTCAGGAGCCCCTGAAAGCAGCTCTTGACATTTGACAATGACCTGATCTGTTGCTGGATTTGGCAACAGTGAAATGGTAGGTCTTAGATATCTATACATAGAGCCTGAGCCAGTCAAGGACACATGATGGGGTGTCCTGGCAGGGTGAGTCACACAAAAAGTGCCTAGGCTGGGAGTTAGGAGACCTTGTGTAGGGTAAGCGAAAAAGTATCAGGCTTTTCTGCCCTCTGGGCATTAGGATTGATGATGGATCTGCCGTCCTGAATGCATGCCTGATGGCGGGCACCTGGAATAGGGTATGGGCATGCGTAAGTGGGTACACCTGGGCTAAGGGCGGGCTTATAAGGGTGGTGTCATGGTGCCACCAGGACAGCGGAGAGCAGTGGAGCAGAAGCAGAGACTACCAGAGAACGCCGGAGAGCCCAGATAGAATGAAGACTTGCTGGGGGCTGGGAGGCCTGCCAGCCTTCCGGCACCTCTGTCTGCCGTGAACCTGGTAAATCCCAATAAAAGCCTGCAAAAGCCACCGAGGGCTCCAGGACTCTCTCCTCCTTCACCCCGTCTGCTTGGTCATAGAGAACCTGCACTGTGTCCATTCCTGCTGCTACACCTTGCTTCTGGTCTTCCTTTATTTGTTGTCTAGTGCATGTATATGTTTATTTTCAGCACTCTAAACCCAGCATCTTTGCCCACTTATTGTACTTTCACTGGTGTCTATTCTATGCCAGACCTGTGTAGGTTACCAGAAACAGTTCCTGCTTCTCAAGGATTTCATATGGAGGGTGAGGAAATCACACAAAAGAACCGCAGGCCCAGTGATGACCCTTCAAGCAGTTTGAGGGGGGAATAAATGATGTCAGAGCTGAATCATCTGAGATGAGTCAAAGTTTCCAGGTGAAACAGGGTCAGGAGAAATTATGGTCAGAGTACAACCTGTTCAAAAACAGTGAGAGAGCCTTGCATAACCCAGGAACTGCAAATTATTTGTTGCAGAGAGAGCATAGGGTATTTATGTGTGTAGTGAGGGTGGGTGGTAGGCAGCTTTAGTCACTGATGACTCTGTGTGACCTTTCACAGGACAGATTCCATATCTTTCTGGTATTCCCTTCAATAAAGTTTAATCTTTTGCTGAACACTCTCTGGACTGGACCTTCTGAGAAGTTATAAGGAAGAATCTGATAAAAAGCCTTGTGTAAGGGCAGGACCAGGCACAGTGCAGGTTTTCTGATCCCATGCAGATCGGGTAAAGGAGGAGTCAGAGTCCTCAGTAGTTTTGCAGGTTTTTTATTTGGGGTTCACCAGGCATATGGCAGGCAGGGGTGCTGGCTGGGGGGCTGGGAGGCCTGCCAGCCTCCCAGCCCCCAGCAAGTCTTCACTCTATCTGGGCTCTCTGGCGTTCTCTGCTTCTGCTTCGGCTTCTCCTTCAGGTTCTGCTGCTGCTGGCTGGGGCTGCTAGCGTCCCCCCGTGACGCCGCCCTTAAAAGCACAGTCTTAGCTCAGCTGAATCCCATCTACCTATGCCCACACCCTATTCCAGGTGCCCGCCATCAGGCATGCATTCAGGACAAGGATCCATCATCTATCCTGATGGCGGAAGGGCAGAAAAGCCTGACATTTTCTTTACCCTACAGTCCACCCCCTCAGGGTTTTCTGCCATATAGTCTATACATATATATACAATTTTCTAAGCAAACAAACAATGCAGCCATGGCCCACAAAAGCAAATACATCAAATATAACAAAATACAATATAACAAAATACAACAGAACACAAATAAGTCCAGGCAGGGCACCAACCAAGTGCAAAAGACAATTATTGGTACCAGCAGATGAGCCACCAAATCTGCTGCCGAAGGCACTGCTCATACGAGGGAGGGGAATCACTCACGGCATCTACTATATCACACCAGGAGCCGTCAGGCTTCCTGGCCTTCTCTGGCTGTAGTCTAGGCTACAAGGCACACAGCATCCACCCCCAGGATGTACTAGCTCTGGGATTGGCAATTTTATTCTGTTGGGGGTAATCGCCAACCCTCAGGGTTTCTGTCTGCAGTCGCTCCAACACTCGGCCTTCACAGCCACCCATGCGACTCGCAGACCCCTGCACTCAGGCCAACCCACTGCACAAGCACATGGGTCGGGGATCAAAAATCTACATGTGGCTTGGGCTC